CTGATGTCCACCTTGTTTCTATCGCCCCCTGCTGCCCTTCAGGGCCGGGACACACGCCCTTTTAAAAAAAACCCCCCAAAAAAAAAAAAAAAAAAAAAAAAAAAAACCAGGAGGGGTGGGGACCAGCAGATGCCATAATGGCCACACCTCTGGACTCTCACATAGTCGACCACAGTTCAAGGCCCAGACCTGGCAGCTTGAGACATGCCAGGTGCATGTGTGTGAGCCCAAAGTCCCGAAAGGAGAGTGGAGGAGAAGCGATTGTGGCGTGGCCATCGGCCCTGGGGGGTGATTTCTCACTTTCTGTCTCTCTCTCTCTGTCTCGCTGGCAAGTGGATGCTCCTTATGGTAAAAATCTCTCTAAGAAATAAATTAAATAAATAAATAAATAAATAAATAAAAAGAAAGGAAAACAATGCTGCAAAAACATCTTTGTGCAACTGGGGAGGGGGGATTCTTGTTAACCAATAGGATTCTGGACTTAGGGGCCAGCAGATTGTGTAGCAGTTATGTCACTGGACTCCCACACGGCTGACTGCAGTTCAAGTCCCAGACCCAGTGGCTTGAAAATCATGCCAGACACATGTGCGTGCGTGCCCCAAATCCTGGGCAGTGAATGAAGAAGGGATTGCATGTGGCCATCCCCCGGGAGGGGGTGACTTCTCACTTTCTCCCTCGCTGTCTCTCTAGCAAGCACACGGTCCCTTTTAAAAAAGCTTCTGGTCAGGGTGGACCCGCTACCATGCGGATTCTAGACGCAAAACAGTGGGCCCTGCTGCAGGGCCCAGGCCCAGGTGCTGCTGTGCAGTGCCAGGCTGCACCAGAGGCCCAGGCTCAGGCCCAGACCGACTGAACACGCCGGTGCAGGCTTGTGCCTGGGACCCTGCTAGCTGGGAAACTGGGCAGGAGGAGCCTCATCAGAGATGAACAGGGCGCATGGCCAGTGGGACGGAAGGCCAGGCACTGGCAGACGCTTCCCGTCCTTCTCAGGCCAGTTCGAGCAGCAGTGCCCAGGGGCCCTTGGCCTCCTCCGAGCAGTGCTCTCGGGGCCACTCACAGCCTCCCGGACTAAGTCCTCCCCAGGCCGGTCACTCAGGACCCCTGCCCCAAGGCAATCCCTGTTGGCTTCAGAGGACAGGGCGGGGCCTTCTAGAGCCCCCCTGCCCCTGGGTGGTGTCTGAGGAGGTGGATGCCTGGGGAGCCCCTCAGGGCCCTGGTGAGACTGGGACTGGGAGTCACCCCCACTGCCTCTGGTCACACCCACTTCTGTCGCACCACCTGCCAGAAGCAGAAGGTAGGCGCCTCCCCAGCCCAGCCACCCCGGTCGCCAGCTGCCCCTGCTGCCCCCTCGCTAAGGGACACCCCGGGTGCCAGGGCCCGGCAGGCTCTTCTCAGCACCGCGGGCCTCCCGGCTCCCAGGCCGGGCACCTGCCTCTCTGCTCAAGTGCCCAGGCCGCCGGCCAGCCAGCCAGCGTGGTCCTCGGGCCGCGAGTGCCTGGGGCGGCCGCAGCCCACCGCCCTGCTCCCGGTACCCAGCGCCCCGCTCCCGCACCGAGCGCCCCGCGCCGCCCTCCCTACGCCTCCTCCCGGAGCGTCCTCCCCCTCGCCGGCTCCC